TTTCATCTTATCTAGACTGAAATTCACATCGATCTTGGATTTTTGCATTTACATTTTCTGTCTCTGTTTCTGGAAGCGAAACAAGTGATATATCACTTATTGCTTATCGCATCAATTGTGCTTCATTATCATACCTTGTACCTCTATATGAATTGTATAATGAAGCGCATTATTATTTTTTTCACCGTAGTATGTGTTGGTCAGGCCCTATCCACCGAATCCACGATACATTTGGAAGGGCGCGCCAGCATTATCAACCAACGACCACTCTCCACACCGTGGGTAAGTGATTATTAGGTCCGAGAATCATGTGCCCTGAGGAAGCGCAGTGAGCCAAGAATGACAGCCTTCTGCATCTGTCCGGCTAAGATTTCTGCCTTAGTGAGGCAGGCCGGTATGATTTCAAGATTCGGGAGTAGAGAGGGCATCATTCCACCAAGGACTCCAATAATCAGAGCAACCACCTGGTTGCTCTGGATAGAGTGGTCAGGATAGTGGTCTGGATAGAGTCTGCGAAGTTTGAAAAGGAAATCGCGATATTTTATCCTTTTTTCCTCCTCTTCTCGGATGATATTCGTTTCGCCAAGACAAACATCGTCTTGTTCTGGTGGTCGAAAAGGACTACATCAGGCTTATTAGCTTGTATGAGCCTGAGGGTGGGAAACAAATAGTTTCAATAAATTCGGCACTTCTTGTTCCCCACAACGGATTCATTATCCGCCGGAGCGTAGGTTCGGCGTGTCTCATCAATATCGTAAGAGAGCCGTAGATGGTAATATAACATTCTTAGGGCCGCGTTATGTTGATGGATATAGGCCGAGACCACATATTCTGGACATGCTGATAGCAAGTGCATAAGGGTCACCATCCTGGCAAGCCATAATGAACCCCTCAGTTTCCGACTTCAGCCCACTCGACCTGAGGAAAGCGTAAGTCAGGCGTTTTGATAAGCCAAATTCTCCAATGTTATTGCTTATATTGGCTTATCTTTGTGTTTTCACAGAAGTGAGGTGCTCCCTGCGGCTTTTATATGAGCTTTTTGCTGAACGGGTTCCAACTCGGAGGCAGAGTTGTGGTCACCTCGTTAAGTGTCAAGTTCATCAGCTGCTCGGGCAGCTGCCCTAAAGAGAAATGCTCCAATTCCTGCTCTCTCATGGTCACGGACCATGTAGAGCAGGGGATCCGAACTCTTAACGACTTAACATGCTATATTCAGTACCATTCTGTCATGTAGACACTCCAAACTCAAAAGTTCACGGCCTCCCTGTTGTCGGGGAAAGCACAACCGTGGAACGGACGATTTGGGATGCAAACTACTATAGAGAATGCAAACTACTAAAGAGATGCATCATTTTTTGGGTCTCTGCGTCTAGTTGATACAGCTCCTTCCAAGTCCACTTCACTACTGCAAACGAGTGGAGTAAGATTGGAACGCAAGCATATTTGTTGTAGCAACTTTGTTCTTCCCCGACAGTTCCTATAACCAGATCTATAACCAGATCCTATAACCAGCATTATTAACCAACATCCACTCCCCACACCGTGGGGTAAGTGATCATTGGGTTCGAGAATTATGTACCCTTAGCAATCGCAGTAAGCCAAGAAAGACAGCCTTGTGCGTTTGTCCGGCTGAGATTTCTGCCTTAGTGCGATGAGCCGGTATGATTTTAAGATTCGAGAGTAGAGAGAGCATCATTCCACCAAGGACTCCAATAATCAGAACAACTATCTTGACAGAGTCGAGGAAATATCGATATTTTATCCGTTTTTTCTTTCCGATCGATATTCGCCTCGCCAGGAGCTGAAAACTCCATGACAAATATCGTCTTGCTCTGGTGGTCGAGTAGGAATACATCAGGCTTTTTTTATATGCAGTATCTTTCGGAGTGACATTTTTTTTCTCTTTGATAATTTCATACAAATATTTGACTGATCTTGATATTTTTATTTATCAGATTATGATGTCATTTCTGATTCGTAAATACCCACAGTTTTCTATCATCTGATCACAGATTTATATGATACTTTTCGAAATAATAATAATGAACAAATAAGTCTGGTATCCCAAATGGCAACTAATTGATAAAATTTCATAAGATTATTTCAATAACTACGACTCATTTGGTCAAATCTCAGTGATAAAAAAATCATTTTGAGGATGGATTCCCGCTCACAGTAACAAATGGAGCCATTTTTTTCCAAACACGATGTTATATTGTTTATGCGGATAATGACAGTGTTTTCAGAACACACAACTGAAATAACGACCTGTTTTGAATTCTTTCACTTCATATATAGTTCAACGATAAACGTTTACTAGGTACTGAAACCAACTAATCGAAACCAGTGGAGTATGCATTTCTCTGAAAGTAGAATACCAGAAGTCTAAAATCACCAAATCAGAAGCTAAAAATCGACAACTTGAGGAAAAACTAGAAAACCTGGCAAAACATAACAGAAAAAAAATTATAACATTTGGTTTCGACGAAGTAAGTACCCAGTCGAAGATATTCATCATTTTTCTATTGAGAAATCAGTCGATTGATAAACGTAGAAATGAGTAACACAGGTATAAATGATTAATATTCATTAGAAACTTAAATAACGGATCCTTCAAAGCTCGAACGCGTATCATATCAAACGACAAAAATCATACATACAACAAAACTGTTTCACAACAAAGGTTCCTTCCAATATCAGAATTACCAACGACCAAGCAGGCCTACAGAGAGCGAAAAATAAAATACTAGAGAGTTTCCCCTATATGCCAGAAAAACTAGTACCAACCGAAAAAAGTTATTGAAATGAAAACAAACTTTTTGTTGGCAATACAGTTTTTGCAGATAGCATACACAAATCCGACAGTAGCCCATCGACACCATCTACTAAAAAAATGAATAACAACGAAACACAATTTGTGGAAGAGAAAAAATAGTAAACAATAGTAGACAAAAAATTTAACCGAACAATTGACATAAGGAACAGAAATGAAATAGACATTAAAGACACTTCAGAGAAAAAAAACACAACTCGGCCAACATCACAAGAAGATGTCAACTCCTTCCAATTTGACCAAGGGAATTATGATAGTTCATTTTCTGAAACATTTCAAGTTCACATATTGATAAAAAATATATCTATAGGTTTTTTTCTTCGGGCGATTTTGCAGATTTTATTTTTTTACCTGCAAAAGAAATATAGGTTTCTTTTGTTAATAGATATGGATCGATACGGATTGATATATCTGAGAATCAGAAATACATTCAGACGAAACTCACAATATTGAATGTAGCGAAAACCTTCGAGTTAATAAAACAAATTATAGTTTCAAATGTAGACAACAAAACATTGGGAGTATTGAAAAAACCATTGATGCATTCAAAATTCTCCTACATGACTGAAACTTGGAAAATAGTAAATATTGATTTGTATGAAATATCAAAAAATAACATGATATATAATCAGAGTGATTTTAATCAGAATAATGTAGTAGTGATATACCTGCACTTTATGTCGTTTTATCTGTATCTACTAAAATTTAAATCTACATTTACATTTTCTCTTTTCGTTTCTGAAAGCGAAACAAGTGATATAACATCTATCACTTCCTCAATTGTTCTTCATTATAACTGAATCATACCCCTGTATGAATTATTCAATGAAGCTTATTATTATTATTATTATCAAAACTCATTCAGTCTTTCAGTTTCACTAGTTCGGACTTCCATTGTCTACTATATAAAATGATTTGAAATCCCTGAAAGGAATGACT